TTTTGACTTGATTATAACTGAAAAAACCCAAAACGAAGTAAATCTTTAACTTATTTTCAAAAACGCATTTTCGAAAATAAAAAAGAGAACATGTTTTCATTGTTTTGAAAAATCGAAAATAGAAAACGACTTGAAAATGGTAAAGAGAACATTCCTTAGTTTTTTGCTACAAAATACTCACCGAACTAACACATTTTTATTTTTTTGCAAGGGAAATTGTGGCATAATTGCAATAAAATATATCGGATTTTTAAGTATAGCACATAAGGTTGATGGAATCAACCAAATCTTGGATACAACATTGGAGGAATAAGTTAGCATGCGATTTGTATGAATTCAATTGTGATTCGTGAAAATTGTTTATTTTTTTGTCAAATAATTGTAAATACTGTAAACAAATTGTAAATATCGAAATTTAATTGTTTATGTATTTGTCAAATAATTGTAAATATTGTAAACAAATTGTACATATCAAAATTTTAATTATTTATTTATTTGTCAGCTAATTGTAAATACTTTAAATAAATTGTAAATATCGAAATTTAATTGTTTATGTATTTGTCAAATAATTTTAAATATTGTAAACAAATTGTACATATCGAAATTTTAATTGTTTATTTATCTGTAAAATATTCTAAACAAATTGTCAATATCGAAAATTTAATTGTTTATCATAATATTGTTCAATTATAATCGAAATCATTACACATCGGTCTAATTATCATGAGGGAAATTTGACTTGTACAAAATTGGCGAGTATGTCCTATTGCTCTGCACCAACTGTACCTACGCAGTCGAGTAAACTCTTCGGTAGATGGTATTCTAGATGTACGTGAACGTTCAACTTCAGGTATCAACAAACTATTAAGTAGGAGAATATGGTCTGAAACTTCCCACTCGGCTTCATTCGGTAGATGAAATATAGTCTCAGCATATACTGCTCCCCAATAATCAGCTGTGTAATAAGGAGAGCATAAGGTTCTCACTGTAAAGCCTCTAAACATAGCCATCGCGACTGCATGCTCACATAGAAAACTCTCCAGTTGAAATTGACTACAAGTGCGTGTTATCACGGACAAGCACAACTCATCCATTGGTTCTACATTCAACTCTGTGAAGCCGCACGTCGGTCGTGAAACCACTGCTGTAGCTTGTTACGAATGGTCTCAACCATTACGATGATAGGTAACTCTCAATCCTTCTGTAACAATGCATTGAAAGGCTACGCATTGTTTGACGTCATTATATTGTACCGACGTCTTGAAAAATGTGATCTTGCCCAATGTTCAATTTTCATTTTCACAATCAACTTTGCCGAATGCAAGAGGGTAAATTTGGGTGTTGGCATCTTGACATGTAGCAACAATTAACTTGTCTCTGTATCTAGGTTTCAGAGTTGTACAATCGACTAAAATTAGAGGTCGTATTGCATTTCGAAATCTTCGAATACATTGTCCAAGAGTTATGAAGAAGAATTTAAAGCAATTCTAGCCCCTCCGTCTCAATAAAAAATGCAGAGCCAGGATTAGTTGTACTCATGTTATGGCAATATCTGATCAATTTAGTATAACTCTCATTGGCCGAACCTATTAAGTCCTCCAATGCCCATTCTTTGGCCTTCCAAGCCTTCGGCAGCTCATGTCAACTCCTTATTCTCGATGGATGTCATTAATGATGTCCGAAAG